ATATAAGATTTTGTTCTTTTTTCTGTTCCATTTCATTTAATGATATTGTGCTATTTTTGTTTGTTTTTAACATATTTTATTTTGTTGTTTAAATGAAATAAATTTATTTAAAAAAATAGCAATGAAAATATCAGAGCTTCTTCATATTTTAAGGGTGTATTCAGACCAGGAAAGTCCTTTGGTCTACTTGTTTGGCCCAGACCAAAAGTGGACTTTTTTTTCGTTTGGTGCTGTTTGCATTCACACTGTGCTTTTTTGCAAACGAATTATAACTTGTAAACAAAGCCATGAGGGTGACGATCATTGCAACCATTGGGCAGAAAGGACGGGGGCGGGACTGAGTGCACAGACCCAGAAAAAAAATACACGGAAGTTCTGCATGCTGCGGTTCTGATGTGCACATTTATGCTGTTAGTACAACTGCAATAGCATTTAAAATGTCAGAAGCAGCTAATTTAATGGTGGTTCCGTGATGATATTCTAATTCTGAAGCGGCGTCAGTAAATGTGTCCCGCAATCCAAAGGAGAAGAGGTGCTCTGTGTTCTGACCCAGTACATGCTGGCAGCAGAGCTGCTAACAGGAGAAGACGAAACAGATATGATTTCGGTTTATTTAGCTCAGCAACGGTGGCCTGTGAAGTCCAAAAAGGCACATGTTTTATTCKGTTGGTTCGGTTCGAGTCTGGTCTGTATTCATACCAGAAGCAAACTGAAGTGAACCGCACCAGAGTTCGTTTGGAAGCGAACTGAGACCACCTCAAAAAGCAGGTCTCGGTCCGGTTGTTTGATCCACACCTGAGTTCGCATGAGTGTYTTCACACCTGCACAAAAAGTCCGGACCAACGCTGGAAACAAACTCTGGTCCGTTTAAAGTGGACCAAATGTGTCAGGTGTGAATATGACCTAAAACAACGGTTTATGAAGACATTTATTTTTAGTGAATGAATCTGATCTGCATGCTGAACGTGTGCCAGTGTGTCTCTGTGGCTCAAAAAAGCAGAAGAAGAATCCCTCTTTTACATTGAAATTGAACTCCAGTTTCCTCCCACAGACCAAAAAACAGGCACGTTCGGTGATGTGGCAACTCTCCATTGTCCCTGGGGGAGAGTGAGAGTGTGAATGTTTGTGTTTTTTGTCTGTGCGCGGCCCTGTGATGGACTTGGGACCTGTTCGGTGTGTACCCCGCCTCTCGCACAATGACTGCTATACACAGGCACCACTGACCCGGAAAGGAAAAAAGCAGGTAAAGATAAAGAGTTTGTTCAGTAAAAGCCAAGTGAAACTCCTCTACTGCAACTAGATATCAAAATGTGAAAAAAAACCTTCATGCAATAAAGAAAAAACTAAAACTTACCAGTGTGTTTTCACCACTAGCACTGTTCCATAGCCTCATGCGGTCATCTGTTCCAGTGGTTAGGAGGTAGAGGCCATCAGAAGTAAAACAGAGACCATTCACTCTGCCATTATGAGCTGTGTTAACTGGTGAGAGGAAGTTTGTGTTTAAACCACATACCAAGATGAATTTGCTGTTTAAAAACATTTAACTGGGATGAACCAAAGGCTAAGATTGGTTGGGCCGCACCACACGTGTGAAAACGTCTCTCTGCATMATCAGAATGCTGAAAGATAACAGCTAAAGTAAACTAGATCGGCTGCAATCTAGTTTCCTTGAAAACAAAGCTATCTCAGATAGGGGATACATATTTACTAAATTTGCAGAATCTTCATCACTATGTGCAAAACTAATCTTCATTTTCTGCAGAAYCCTGTTAATTACTCATTTATTCAAATCAGGTGTGTAGGATAGTGGACCTTGAAGACCAGGACTGGACTCCTTTGATGTAGGAAAAACAGTAAGTCTAGACTGTTTAGGATAAAAACAGGAAAAACCTAATAATAAAAAAAGGAAAAAGGGGGAATGATCTTTACCGGTCTCCGAAGAGGCTTTAGACTTCTCTCCATTGTGCTGGTCCAAAGTGAAGAGACAACCTGCAGCTCGTCGCACATCCCATACCTTCACCTTGCTGTCTGCACTTAAAAGACAAAATAAAAAATGACGCGTGTGCCTTTTACTCRTCTGGTTAACTCATGAAATATGTTGATGTATTTAAAAGTTAAGCTAACATTTGCAATAAAAGACTCGTGGTTTATTCACAACAGCATGTGCAACCTGTTTTTTAATTTTTTTATTGTTGTTTGTTTTTAAAGGTCAATGTTTCTTTGGGAATTAGCACACTGGCTCATGCATTATTGTATGGGCCTCTCTTTGCCAGCAGTTTTCAAAATCACTTGCAGTCCAAAGGCACAGAAGCGAACCGATCCCACGAGGTTAATTAGCAGGTCTAATGTGGCATGAAAAAGGTGGGGACTGTATCTACCATATGCTAAACTGACACGGCTGCTAAACCAACACATTGCCTATCTGGTAGCGATGTGTTACCATTATCCTCAACTCGGCGTCTAAATGCGGCCAGATGGCTGCGTTGTTATAAGACACAAACTGCTGGGGGCACAACACGGTGAACATTCTGGCATTATAAATTAGCATTAGCCTTAAATGTGGCCCAAAGGCATTTACTAAGCTAAATGGAAAACAGCTGCAAACGGAGCTTACCTGGCAGTGGCTAAGATGTGTGCGTATCTGGGCGACCAGCGCACAGACAGCACTTCTGCTCTGTGACCTGAATTGGCAAACATGTTACAGATTATAACATGGAAACATGCAGTCATACAAGCACATGGAAACACTTTTAAAGTGCCCGTGACATCCATTTTTTGTGYTAAATATGAATGTATTTTTGGAAAGATAACATGAGTAGTGTGTTGCAAAACAAATGTCARGCCYCTGAGACGAACCGTTCTTGAGATYTTCACGTGTGAAGAAACAGGAAGTGATGTCAAAGGGGAATGTCTGCATGTGAGCGGAACGTTGCTACAATAACTAATAACYCAGACTGTAGAGAAAAATCTGGTYTTTCTCTAGATTYTATCYAGTCACTATCAGAGAGATGAAGACGAGTCGGAGTTCAAATAATATTGTTTTAATAAACAAAGACCAGAGTTCCTTATCTTAATGAGCTCCCCTTTGATGTCACTTCCTGTTTCACTTTGCCTGAGCCAAGTTCYAAGGAAAATCTGTGAGTTATGCGACAAAATGTGTAAAATCGTGTTTATTTTGTCGAGTTTCTTAAATATAAAAGATGTTTTCTTTGACTTTTTGAATTTGAAGGATATGCATGCCACAGGTGCTTTAAGGTTTAGGGTTTTTTTTTTTTTTTTGGTATTATATGTTCCAGATGCAGCTAAAAGAGGATTTTAAGCTTTCCTTTTTACATTTTAACCCAATCCTTTACGCTGACAAAAGAAAAGCAAATTACTGACATTTCTGTAAAGGAGCTCTAAATTTCCGTGAAACTTTTTGGCCATTATCTCAAAAAAATTTGGCACACCTTTTTTTTAACTAGTTGATCCTCCCATTAGTTGTAACAGAAATGTTCAAGCTRGACAAGTATGGATGGGAAGCAAAATATCAACCGTTTCAGCCAAGAGAGCATGAAATGGTTTCACTCYGGATTTCTCATTTCGGCTGTAATGTAGAGACTATATGAAGTTATTATTGTTTTTTTTATTATTAATAAGATGCTTCTAAAGTGCATTCTTGTATGGTGTGCAGAAGGATGAAAAACAGAAACTGATTCTAACTTTAAGCAAGTCTGAAGCAACAAAACCTAAAAATGGTTGGAACTTTCTGACCTCACCTCACCGCAGGCAAAGTTAAGGTATTTTGGTGCACTGACCCTGAAGGACATGAATCCGTGAGCCAGACTTCAAGTCACACAATTGGATTTTAGGGTTTGTCGTTCCAACTGAAAACAAAGATAGAAACTGTTCACACTGAGGAGAAAAATGTTCATTCCTCAACAAAAAACTGGGGAAAAAAACTAATTAAATAAACACAGATTAAGATTAATCAGCATTATCTTCATTTTTATTAAAGAAGTCAGCATGATCTATACAAAGAAGACGCTCACAAAAGAAACAACTTCAAATCCAAGTTTTGCCTGATAAGATAAATATAAGAACCGACTGATAAAAACATCTGATAGTAAAGAGTTAATACACTCATGCCCAGCTACCAAGAAAACATGAAAGGGGACAAAAGAAAAATAAGAAATCTGACAGGTAAAATCATCACTAGTTACAACCCAGCATTAAGATCAAGAGGCTTTTTCAGGAACAGTTTCCTTTAAAGGTTTTGGTATTAAAACAAAAAAAAAGAAGACTACCAGGATGTTGCAACCTGTTTGACGAGCCCGGCAGAGGAGGAAGAAAAGACGTGAACTCTGCCCCAGAGGCTGCGCTAAAAGGAACTGGTTTGTGGAAACTTGGTTTTGAGTATGTAAAGAACACACACTCAGCAGGCGGGATTAACCTGTTCGTCCTGCTGTGTAGCCCTGAAAACGCAGAGATTCTGACAAAATGTCTCTTTGGTGAAGTCAGTTCATATGTGTACCTCCTCCTGACCCGATTCTGTCCCCTTCGGGGAATGTGTCACTTCACAGCCTGGGTACTTTAAACAGATACCATCGGTGTTGTTTTGTGGAGCCGCGTCACGTAGCACGCTATCTGAGGCAACAAACTACTGAGAGACAACATGGTTTYTGGGAGTTTTGTCCTGTGTTTTATGTTTTTTTTTTAAAGACAGAGTGATAGAAATACAAGCAGCTGTGGCAGATCAACAAAAATATTCAAAACCCACCTGCGATGAGGCTGTGCTTCCTGGCGATGGGGGACAGGTGGTGGCTATAGACATTACCGTCAAACTCAAACACCTCGGCAGGCTAAAGGATAGCATATGTAAGAAAAGGTGAGACAGACAGTCATAAAAGATATCTATATGCGCAGGGCTGTGCATATTTGCATTTATAAATGTTAAATGAAAAGCTAATCTAATGATTAAATGAACAACGGTGGCCTTAAAGTTTAATAGTGGCATAAAGTCAGCCGAGGACAGAGGAGCAGAGTTCAGCGAATAAAATGAGATAAAAGGAGGAGAAGAAAGGAGCGCGGCTCAGAGGGCAGCTTGCTCCAGCAGCAGCGGTGGTTACAATGCAAATTCTTTRGCAAACACAAAAAGCCTCTCTATCCTCCATTTGTCAGTGTGTGCCAGCATGGACATCACCCATGGGTGGGGGCTCGGACAGAGGCATGCTCTGTTTGCATAAGATGCCACACAAACACACACTAATGCACGCAAAAGACAAATTGCACAATAATGCAAAACATGCAACCCAGTTTATTTTTAAATATGAGCACGTGTGCGTTTTGTGGCACACAGACGCAGAAACAGAGTAAATAAAAGGTCAGTGGGTTATTTTCTGTCCTTTCGGTGACCTTTTGAAGTAAACGRGGTGCCAGTGTAACTCTAGCACAGCTCTGAGCCTGCCATGTGGAACAATGTGGCATAGAAAGGTAGAAAGCATGAAGCCGAAAAGAAGAAAGAGAGAATAAAAGATACTGGAGAGAGCAGAAAAGTGGCAGAGCTGCACACTAGAGGTCATCAAACAATCATACGTAGTCCCTTAGCCCTTTAATAACTCTTCATTATACAGAGAAYAAGAACTGTACGGATGGGCTTACAAAACTTTAGTGGATCACTTGATGAAGAAGATTTTAGGTAACGTGGCTCACCTTTAAAGTTTCTGTGTCCCAAACTTTCATGGTCTTGTCAAAAGAACTGGAGACAAACATCCCTGTGTCATAGGGATACCACTGGACAGTTTCCACACTGAATTTGTGGACATGTCGGCTTGACCTGAGACAATAAAAAATAGCACCACTGATCAATGCTGGCAAAATCAGGTAAAAGAGGGGATTTAAAAAATGTATTTTTAGAATAGTGAAAAAAAGGTAAAAATGACTGTGTTGTTACACGAATGACAATCAGATTAAAAACTAAATAGAATGGCACCCTCTAGTGGATGAAAAATAAATAAACAGGGTAACATTTACCTGCCTACTGTACAGACTGCCTTACAGGTGTACTGTGTTTTGCTACTGTAGTTCTCCAAGTCATAGATGACGATCACTCCATCAGCACCTCCAGACAACATGCTAATGACAAGAAATGTTAACTTCTCATAAAGAATTTGGCTAAATTAACCACAGGACAGAGTCAAAGAACTAGCTTTAACTGTTACTATTTATAGCATTACATTTTTATGTAATATCCTCCTTTTTACACATTACACATAACATTTAAAACAAACTGTGAAYGCAAACTTACTATCTGCCCTCAATTGTTTCAATGTCCAAGGTATTAATTCCATTTCCATGGATTCGATCCACATCTCGGTCAGGATTTAACTTCAGACTAAGGACCCTGAAGAGACGAACCACATGAAACCATGAGCACATATAGGATTATTAAAAATATGTAGCAGAAGGAATGCAGTATTTAAAAGTTTGTTTTTAGKTATTCCCCCAAAATAAGTGGCAATGATTAAAATCAGTTAATAAAATTAAATATAATAAAATATATATGAAGGTTTTTCCTAAAGGCCCTGTCACACTAGACAACTTATACCAACTTATGAGCATTTTAAAGACATTGAAGCTGGAACTGAAAAAAAAAATCAACAGGAAGCTTCTTTTCGGCGTGTACATAATGTAATTTTAACAAATTGATCAAATGTTTATTAGCACTTTAGACATAAAAAAATGCTTCATAAGTTGGCATAAGTTGTCTAGTGTGACAACAGTCATGTCAGAGGAGTAGAATAATATATTTCCTGCAAACAGCATCACTTTTTATCCTGAGGTGGACGTAACAGGGTTGGGAAGTGTTAAAACACGTACAGATAGATGTACACTAGGGCTGCCACGATTAATCGATTAATCGACGACTAATCGATTATTGAAATAATCGATGACTAATTTAATAATCGATTAATCGTTTTCATTTTTTGGTCTTTACTTTGTTTTTCTCTCCAAACTGCTTTGACASCTTCCACTGCCACGTCTGRCTTTCTGTCCTTGACACACATGCACAGTAGTGGTAACTGGGGTAGGCCGTGGACGTCACAACACATTATACAGACAGGCTCTGGTATCATGGCTACCCAGCAACGGAGCTCAAAAGTGTGGGATCATTTTAAGAAAATGAATGAGAAACCTGTGTAATATCTGCAGAGCAGAACTTACCTTCCTCAGCAATTATTTTTAGTTAGCATATAGCTAAAATCTAACCATGGTTATATAATAGCAGCTGCATTCTGACGTGATAAGCTGTGTGTTTTATATTCAATTAACGTATGATCTGATTAGTCGACTAATCAAAAAAATAATCGGTGATTAATCGATTATAAAAATAATCGTTTCTGGCAGCTCTAATGTACACATTGACATTCACCATGAACTTAGGAATGTCAGACTGCAACCACTAAAGTTCAGCTTCAACTGTTGTAAATACAAGTACTACTGGTTCATGAACTAATTGAAAAAAACTTTTTTTAAAATTATCTAAACAACTTGTTTTTTATTAGGCTAAAATCTATAAAATACTTACTTTATCTTTGTATTTATTTTATATAAGCACACTCATTTGATATGATTTTTGCATGTCATTGATCTCATGTTCATTTATTCAGTTTGACTTTAGTAAGCACTGCAGTTTTACCAAATAAATGAAACATAAGGAACATACGGCCAATCTTATGTTTTTCCTTGAAAAATAAAAAGCATGCATATAAACGCTAAACTAGATGTCTGTCATCCCAATAATCCACATTAAAGAAATTTGTTGAGGAGGTCTAAAACACGTTAAGTTTTCAACTAAATGAAAGAATCGCACAAGTCCACACAGATGTGTTTATTCTCTCTCACCTCCTTGTTGACTCTGCTCGTTTCAGCCGCAAAGGGTCATCCAGACCAGTTTGTCTTGCTGTCAGATATCCCAACATTGCTTCAGTTTGAAGAGACTTACACTGACCTCTTAAGAAAAATAAATCCTAAATAATAATAAATAGGAGCTACGTGTAGCTGAAATAGCTCCAAGGCTAACATGTTTCCCACAATGAAGTGAGATTCTAATCCATACGAAATAGCTGCTAATTATTCAAAAATATTAATCAAGCTCATATTATTAATTGACACTAAATATGTCTTTGAAATGTGTCTAGAGGGCGGTTTTCAAGATATTATTGTTTTTTTTTTTAGGTATTTTTTTCTAGCTTCCGGTCCGATCTAAACAAAAAGACGCCATGTTGGCTAATAAGGACGATCGAATAGCAAGAACGATGATTGGTCGAGGGAACTACCGTCGTCCAATCACAAAGCAGTTTGTTGGTTCTCCTTCAGCGCTACAAACAAGAGGCTGCGAGACTGAACGGCGGGGAAACGGTCTAGAATCTTCGGCTTGTCCTGTAAACATGAGCAGGATAGCTGTTTTCCTACGGCGTACGTTTGGAGTAGTCCGAGAGCACGTCGGGACAGACCATTTTGGGAATAACTATTTCTTTGTCCCCGAGCAGAGAACATGGACAGGTATAATAACGCCATTTATGGTATCATTTAGCCATTTGTGATTTTGTTAGCAATTCTTACACARAAGTGAAGTTAAGCTAACAGTGCCCAACCAGTGAGATAGTAGTAAACTGTTTCCCTGACATCTTGGTACCCATGAATTAAACATCTTGTTTTTGCTGCTTTCATTTTAGCAGCTTAATCTTAATCAAAAGATGACAGCGCACAAGTTTTGTAATAATTGCATATATCCCAGGGCTTTAATGCTATTTTTTAGATTTGACTTTAGTTTTCACCTTTTTTCTTTGTGTAGTATTAATAGTCTGCCGCTTGATGGCGCAACAACCTGCATTGTGGAGCTTTTTAGTGAAGATTTCCTTCTCTGCTGGATATAATCCACTATTTTAAAGTTGATGCCAATGTTGGTACACTGTTAAAAGTAAAATGTCCCCCACCTCAACACACTCGCACACATACACTACTGCGTATGAGATGGTAACTTTTCAGTGATGAGGATTAAAAAGGAGGTCATGTACTCCCACTGAGACATGGCAGTGCTGCAGCTGAAGTGGAGCTGTCACTCCAGTGGTGACCTTCACACAGTGTTTGACTCAGAGGGCATCCTCTAGGCTTTTCAAAATRGATGGCCAGGCCAACTGAGGATCTTTTTCCTCTTTATATATAAAAACACATATTGGGCAAGAAGATAGTCGGAGGCCGCGATGATCCTGATCACAGCAAGCCCTCTATGTTTCAGTCTTTTTACTGCAGGTAAACAGACTCACATTTGGCTCATTATAAAAAAAAAGGTGTCACCATGTGGAAGGCATTCGCAGAAGACATCAGGCCGTTTTGTTTGTATCTGTATTTTCAAGAGGAACTCACCTTTGACAGATTGCACGTCTTCTTCCTTTCTTGACATTTTTTTTTCCTTCTTCACCTTTTCTCAGCAGTTTGTGAGAGCGGCGAGTGGTGGTGGGGGGGTCTTTCACCCGCCTCGTATTTATAATTCATTACAAGACTGCTCTTCTATCCCTGGCTGTCAGACTATTCAAATGAGACATCACAGAAGCAGCTTTCCTGCACACCACAGAGTAATGTATGCACTGTCCCATCGCAGTGACTGACACTGTAGAGTGGCTAGTTGGCCGGTAGAAAAATAATAATAATAAAAACTGGTTCTGACAAACCCCATCCTGAGTGCCAAAGGGGCACATACACCAGCTCAAATATGTGTTTGTAATAAACAAAAAGAAAAAAACAGTCCCTTGATTTGTACCTTTTTCGGCACTCACCATGTCCAACCATGTGGAAGTAAAGTTTATGCATTATTCAGTCTATATGTCTAGCTAAAGTTCTTTTTATTTTCAACTGATAGGCCAGGCATGGGCTGGGGGGCCTTAAGGCAAAGACCACAGGGGTCTGCACTGAGTGCATACATTTAGGTGTAACCAGGTGAAGAGTTTCTCTCTTTGTCTTCCATCCATCCATCCATTTTCTGTACACGCTTCTTCCTTTTCAGGGTTGCGTGGGTCACTGGTGCCCATATCCAGCAGTCACAGTTGTCTTCCAGTTTGCGTCTATTTATTTGTCCGTATCTGCTGCACGGTCAGGCCATCCCACTCTACCTTTATCTTTGCTTTGCTGCCCCCTAATTCCTGCCTCTCTCGATCGGTTACACTTGAGAAAACTGGGGCGTAAGCAATGCAGAGGGCCGGCGGTAGGCTCCACGTTAGGATTAAAATGGCTCCTATGGCAGAAATAGAAAGAGAGGATGACTTCGTGTGATTTGTCTGATTCGATTTCAACAATTTCTATTTGGGTTGCTCTTTGTTTTGTTCGCCTTCACATCGCGCCGGCTCCCCGTGTCCCTCCCCTGCACTGATGCCTCTGGATTTTTGTCCTTTGAAGTAATTCCAGTGAAGATTTCCATTCAAAAACWGTGGAGTTTTTCAGCTGCGTGGATGGAGAGACATAGAAAGAGGGCCATCTGAAAGCCCCTCTCCTCAGATGTTGCTCCTCGTCTAAATGAAAGAGCCTGGGCGTGAAGAACACGGGGAAAGAAAGAACCTCTGCCTCTTGTTTCTTTTTTTTTTTTTCTTACAAAGGATCCAGTTAGTTATAAAGGCCCGCTGTGTGCCGTGCTCTCATAGAAAACCACTGTGCTTCTGAGGCCCTGTGTGAGTCGGGTCTGGTATGTGGCAGAGCTACGAGAGCGAGCCACTGGCTTTCTGGCTGTTGGTCTTTAAAAAGGTCTTTGCCTCTGTGTTGTTTCCACAGAGCTGAACAGAGAATCTATATTCTCCTCCGTTTCTGTGCGCCTCTGTCCCCCAGGCCCGGCTCTGCCTCACGCTGCATGGGGGCGCCGTGTCACGCTGCCCAGATGAAAGCCGAGCATTCTGCGGATGGGCTCATCCGTCTTCAGCAGCGGGCCCGCAGCTCTGACGCCTGCCTTCCCTCCCTTTTATTTCGGGAGAGAGGCGTGCTGACATTATCTGCTGCTGCAGGCACATTTGAAAATAATTGCCTGTATGATTGCTATTTTTCCCACCTCTTTGAGGAGGTGTAGCCTTTGTCTTGGAATCAATGGCTGCTCAATACCGGACAGGGGAAAGGCAGTTTCCTTTCATGTCTCGGTGAAAAGGATGTATTTTTAGCGCCATTCATTTTAGCAGTGTGTGCCATGCAGTTTTAATCTATTGGTCCTCTTTTTACTGTTCGGAGAATGGAAGAGACTCGGAGGTTCTTCACGGGCGTGCTGTGCTGTTCCAGAGAAAAGAGCCGTTGACTTGTRGTCCTATCACTATCCCTCTCTTTTTGTCTATTATTTATTTGATTCGCCAGCGCTGTTCTATGAAGTGAAAAACTAAAAAGGAATCAGTTCTGCTATTTCAGGATTGGCGACTCTGGGGACTGAGGAAGGAGGTGTGTGCTTTTGCGTGCAATTGTGTACCTGCGTTTAATGCCACATAATAGCTCTGTGCCATGTGTTTGTGTGRATTTGTTTTGTATTTTAAAATGGGGGGGATCAGTGATTGTGTGTTTTCTCTCTACTTCTTGCCCTAACACACTTAACACAACAACAGATGGCTGTGTGTCATCACAGCGTTGATTCGAGCCTCATATTTCCACCAAAAGACTCGCAGTGGAAAGCGACGAGGGTCCAAATGGCTGTTCATTCTGCCACAAGTTGTCCCCTGGGCGCGATGAAGGAGGGTCTATCCTACCGTAGGACACCAAGTCGGTGTTTATAGAAGCACCGATGTCCAGAGCCGCTCCAGTAAATCATGCTAATTGATCAGCGGCTTCGCAATGCATAGGGTTTAAATGAAGGTTGTTTAATCATTATAGGGTTTAGCTCATCTAGCTCCACTCGGGCTGCCAAGTGTGTGTTTGTATGTGTGTCTGGTGGCACATCGTGGAGGGACTTTACTGGTTCATTAAAAAGACATTTGAAGAAATAGATGCTGAAAATGAGAGATGGGCACATTTATTTTCAACGGCAGGACAATCCAACTGGGCTTTGATCCAATATCAGTGGTTTAAGTATTTTGCAGGTCCATTAAACACTGGCGATCTGCGTCCATATACYTTCAGTTTTAAAGCGACACGTCGTTCGAAACAAAATAAAATGCAAATAAATAAATAAATCCTGGTGGCGCCAATGTGATTCCCGTTCAACGTGTTTTGACACCCGTGGGCTCTGTCCGAAACTCAACCAYGAAGACTGACAGACGGGTCGGCACGCTCMGAGACGTCTCCTGGAGCCTGCCGCGGCTTTATGCAAGTCGGAATATTTTAATAAAGCAGACAGGCAGAGAGAAGTAAGGCAAGGAACGGAGAGAAGGAAAGATAGGGCTAAGGAGAAACTATTGGAGGGTGGAGAAYAATGTGGGGTACGGAAAGTGAGTGACAAAGAACAAAGAAGATGCTGACAAATGGGGGGGGGAGAATAGAGGAAGTGAAAGGAGGGTTTTCTGACAGAAAGAGGGTGAAATGAGTGGGTGGAACAGGCAGATAGTACGGGAGTAAGAGAAGGTGAGGGTAGGTTAATGGTGAGAGGGTGGTGGTGGTGTGAGGAGGGTTGTTGAAGGTGTAATGGAAGAAAAAGGGGGAGGTTGGATAGGAGTAGCGGAGGTGAACAGAAAGGGGTGGACAGCTCGGTGCATGGACATCATGGGGCCTCAGAGGAGGTGCTGAGGAAGGAAYGGGGTCCACACTGCTCAAAAAGCCTTACAAAGGATTCTGACTTCCTGGCTCAGGCCTTTTTTATAACCCATTAGACAGGGTGCGGGGAGGGTTTCATGAGAATAGGTGGTCTCAAACAGAGAGGGCTAAAACATTGCTTCCACTTTTGAGCACCGCTTCCTGCGTTTAGGTACCACAAACCCACAGGGGAAATCAAAGTATTCTTTTCAGCGTCTTACCACTTTTATGAATTATTCTCGTCTCTTCTGTCGCGAGTCGCTCAGTGGGATCAACAGGGACAAACAGAACGACGGCTGAATAAAACGAAAGCAAGCAAGCCCAGACTACACCCAGGCTCCTCCTCTCACCAGAACCGATGCAAAACAATGACTGGCCTTTTCCCTCTAAACCTCATCCCACATCACCATGGTTACAGGCCTCACACATCCCCTCCATGTGTTTTTTTTTTTTTCAGGAAGAGACTGCGAGCGAGGGGAGAGGGTGTCCATGTCGGTACCCCGGGTTCCCTCYTCTCACCGATGCTCGTCGGATCGCTCCGTCTCCATAAAGCTGTCATTACGGTTCAGGTGTTCAGTCGTCTCCTGCGCACGGCTCGGCCAGCAGGAGATGAACTCGCCTGAATCCAGGCTGATGCAGCCCTTTTTTTTTTGTCCCACCACTGTGTGAGAACCTGAAACTCCCCACGTCTGACAGAGAAAGCTGCTCTGTCAAGATGGAAGCGGTGATTGCCGTGCCGTTGCAGTCGGTAGCTGCTGTTTTTGTCTGCATTGCGGTMTGATGAAAACACAAGCGAACGTGGCGGCGGGGGGTAG